TTTGCTGTATTTATTTCTGAAAATTTTATACATGATGAAAATAATTACATTGGAATGCAGAATTTCTACTGTTTAAATATTGCGATTCTCAGGATGATAATATATCAAAATTCAAGTGAGATCGCTTACTGCGAGAAACAGTTTTATCTGAAAATTCCTCAAGTGCATTATCTACATTTTCGATACATGGCGCGATGTTATTCTTGCATTCTCATTAGGAAATCACGTACGTTCGAAGAAGGGGACGCGCCGACGGCGGCGCCGTATCACATACGATAAATAAAAAATGGTAGTGCAAGGTGCAATAATAAATTTTATGTAGACAAAACATAGGAGAAGTTTTAAGTGAATTAAACGTAGGTATATTAAATTCTCAGTTTTAATCTTTTATTTGCTTAAGATAAATAATGGAAAATGGGGAACTTAATGTTATTCAATAGTAGAAATTACGTCAATAGTAAAAATTATGAGTTTAATGAGCAAGAGAGAAATAATTTTAGCGTATTATTTATCGAGAATATTTTTCTATAATCACCCTTTCATATATGATATGACGCGTATACACGCTCGAGAATCTTTAGTATCCACGCAGTTTTTCATCACATCATCTTTCTCTATACTGTTCCATCACACCGTATTACGGGCACGTAGTAGCTATGCATAATGCGTGATCTCTTATGTAAAATTAAAAGGCGAAACCATGAGGACAGTCACGTAGGACGTTCCTCAAATCAAAATGCGTCTCCCAATGTCTTATTCCTGTGCGCTTCCTTGTTAAATAAATACGCACAGTATTGTGCAAAATACTCGTAAACATATAAATTACATAAAGATATATGAGAGAAAATTATCATATATTTTGTTAATATTTGTATATTACATTTTTTAATATATTATTCAACAGTACATACATATGTATATACTATGTATATGTACATGTTCAATTCAATCTATAACAGAATATCTGGCGTAAAACAGGAATGCAAAAGTGCAACATTATTTCCAGTACTATTAAAATTTTCTTAATTTTATTCAATTTTATGTGTTTATATGTGTATCAGCATGAGCAATTTTAAGAAAAATATAAAATATAAGAATCTTTCTCTTATTTTTCGCGTTTCCGAAGTGGTAATTAAATATTTGGTAGCATTCATCGCGCGCGTGCATAACAAATATCGAGAAATCCTATATTCTCTTCTCATCGATTTAATTTGTCTATAATAGTATATGTCATCTTGTTAATCTGGGTCGTTTATTGATGCTTTCAGCAGCAATGCCTCCGGGCCAAGGCTCCATATTACTTTATGAATAATGAATCGTGATTTTTACCGATTCTATCAATGTAAGCAATAGTTAATATTGACATTGTCACATTCTACCGAAGTCGTGCAGCGAAAGTTGCATTGTATACGATGACATATCCCTAAAAATCCTAAAGAATCGACCGAGACGTACAATTTGTAAGGTGTAGTTTCAAGGTTTCCTTTGTCACATTTTTCCATCGATTATTTTTCATTCAAAATGTACCTTCCAATCCATTACTTCAAGGTTCTCACAGATGCGGATAGATATGTGTGTCTTGTTTCTAATGGGATTTTGGTGTCACCTACTCGCTGTACATTATAAGTATTTTCTGAAGAAGTTTATGTGCACACGTAAAATGTAAGGTACAATATAATGAAAGAATAAAGTACCCTATTAGTCGGTAAGTGTGAGGAATAAAATAATTACATAATTAGAGAGTTGTGTCGAGTTTTCTAGTATTTTTTCTACACATAATTCCAAAAATGGATTGTGACATTTTAAAAACGCGATCTTTTCATGAATATAGTATCAAAAATTTTGTGTAACTTATAATATAATTTAAAAAACTGTAAAATTTATTATCTTAGAAAAGTTTTTAATGAAATAATATAAAAAGAGCCAACAACTGTCTGAAAACATTTGATGATATCAAAAATTTTATGGAGGGGAGCTAATTTATCGAAAATTAATAGTTTTAAGAAACTTTGATAGAGAACTCATTGCCGTTATTCATTGGTTACGTTACGTGATGCAATCAGAAACTCAAATCTACAAGTCTCACGTAGTTCACTCGCCGCTTTTCGAGTGCCTGCTGATGCAAATCGGACACTGTATACATACATATGTATAAAAAATTCTTTTCAATACTGTTTTATATCAACGAAGCAATTTTTATTAATAGCATTATTTTGCATTTAACAATCAATCGGGATGGAAACATGCATTTTATATCATCGTTTCCAAGATGATTGTACAATGATTGTAATTAATCTGTCATGTCATGCGGCGTCGAACGCGTGTGTTATATACAATTAACTCTATCACAATAATTAATTAAAAATCTCCCCGAAATCACTTCGTCTATAATTAACCGCAACCGGACCATTGGACTAGATTCCTCGAAAATATTTGTCAGTCGGAATCCTATCTCGCCCCGAGGATCCGGCGTTCATTCTAAGAAAATCCTTTCGGAAGTATGACCGATTTGTCACAGACGTGCATACTTCCAACTTCAGTAATACGGAGGTACGAATGTACGTAAGCATTCAAGAGCTAGTGAAAGGAGACGTCATCACTGACTTTAAGTGGGAGGTAAAAGAGGATACGAACGCAGTTTTGAGTGGGGAGTGTGTGCGCCGCGGTGAGAAAATTCAAAGCGCGAGAGGGGAACCGGGATCACTCGATCAGATGGAAATCTTGCCGTTCTGCAAAAAAAGTTTTATCTGTATCGGATATGCTTCGATGTATCAATGTTGGAAGTTATATGATTGACTACACAACGTGGAAAACTTTAACAATGTATAAAGTTCACGAATCAAGATTATAATTGATGCTAATGTCATATTTCTAAATATACACATGTAAAAAAGATTCTATTATATTATGTTAAACAAGATTAAAAAAAAACATCACCAATGTATCGACTGATCCCTTTCGCAAGGTAGTATCTCGATTTTACGCAATTTCCAGTTTTTCTGTTTAAACGCGTATTCTGGCCCTAAATGAGTATTTAAGCAGAAAAATTAAAAAATGCGTAAAATCGAGATACGATCTTGCGAAAGAGCTCAGCCGGTACATAAATATTTGCACATACTTGTAATAAACATCGGACTCTAACGATCTTTTTAATCCGACAATGTCAAGATCTGGCAACGACATTGTTGCATGGGAACGGCCGAACGTAATAATTGCTATGAGCGTCATCATGAATGCTATCAGCATCATTGTTGTGTCTACAGAAACGTATATGCACTTACTGACGTTGCCATGACGAAGAATCGCGACCTGCCATTATTAACATCGTTCATTAATGCCATGAACTTTTCGCAATGATAACGAAGATGCTACGGACGTACGAGATTCTCGACCGGGGATAACGAATGGTGTCACGCCTTCGTCGACAATTAGCGGAATCGCGCGTACGGCCGCGTTACTGACGCACACATTCATCTCTGCAGGCGGAATGTTCCTGCGATATAATTACCTTTATCGACAGATTTATTTTATCCGTAACAATGCATTTACGATTTTTATGAAGAATGAACTACGATGCATCAACTACATTTCTGCGATATAAAAACAGTAAAAGCACGTGCCAACAAGGATATTTTTTGTCTAATTACGATTTCGTTATAAAACCTGAACATTTAATTGTAATTTTATTTTTATTTCATTGTCGTATTAGAAAGAAGCTTATTCAATTTATCTAAATACGTTATATTTTTCTTTAATTGAACTTTCTTTCCTGAAAATTCTATATTAAAAATTTGTATTCTAATATACATTGAATAAAATGGAACGAAGCAAACAAAAATAGCAGTAAAGAGAATAATTTAATAAAGTATACGTAGTTAATAGAGTTAATGATAAAATTAGCAAAATTGTCATCTCTTCACGATACTTGGAGGAAAATACATTGTTGCAAATTAATTAGTACAGCAAGTCTCAGTATCCATTCGTAATACTTGAGATCACCAGAGAGGCTCGAGAGATAAAACTACTATGTACGGCAGGTCGATCGTGAGTCGACGTTAACATCGTTGGGTGACTATCGCCTACTACGTACACATAGTGGGGACAGATTAAGAGGGGATACCAAGTTGGTCTCGGGGAGTTATGAATGAGTCCTGAACCACCGCGTTGGAGGACTAACGTGGAGAAGGGAAGGAGATGATGGACGAAGGAGGTGGTGGCCGAAGGAAGGGCGGGAATGGTGGGAGGATTGGCCGAAAGCGGGGTGCGGGCCACGTGCTTCGGTGACTTTACAATCGTATATAGGCACCGGTCGACGGAGTGGCCAGTACCATACACTGACAGTCATACACCGGGGGCGCACGAGGTGATAGGAAGAGTGAAAGAGCTGCGTTCCAATAGGAAGAAAGAGGGAGGAAGGAAGAAAGAGAAAAAGAAGGAGAAAAAGGGACGAAAGAGAATACAATGGATAAAGACTGTACGACAGTGAGAGGTGATCTACGTACGTCCAAGGCAGACGGATAGACCTCTACTACCGTTTCCCCTTAGACAAGTTCACTCCTACTATAGCGACAAACGAACAATTTGCTTCGCCCGCCTTCTTATCCTGTCCATTCGTTTGACTGGCCGCGCCTCCCTTTTTCCGTACGACAAATCGTTCAGTGATCGTGCAGCATCCTTTGACGTCAAGCTCACCTTTTCAATTAAAAGGTGAAACATAGCCTTGTGAAGGCGTGGGAAACGATAAAGAAAGGAAACGGACACTCGCGGGAGTGAGGGTGTAACAGTGAAGCAGGCAACCAAAGAGAGGAAGAACCGGAAGAAAAAATAGAGGAAAACGCACTACCCTTAACAGTGTATCCCTCTGATTCTTTCTCTTCTTCTTGAATACCCCCGCCATCTTATCAAGCACCCTCCCCCCCCTCCCCTCTTTCTCTCTCAGGATCCCACAACCCCTCTACCCCCTCATATAAGAATCAGTGCATCGCGTGTGCTGGGACCAGTGCCAAACGGATTGTGAATCTGTGCAGACTGTTTTTCGATTGTGACCACCCCTCAGGTGACCGGGATCGGTGCCGTATCGTGCGACAGAACGTTGGAGCACGCACGCACCGTCCGTGGTATCCATGCCTATATACATATGTATATAACACACGTGTATCTATTACCAGCATACATACATTGCTGACGCGAAGAGATCCGCGAGGGATACACCGGCGTTACTCCTGCCTCGAGGCTGTGCGTTCGCGAGTGCCCGCGCAACAGTGTTATGCGATCACGATGATTGTGAAGAACGCGTTAGAGAATCCATCGATGCAAATGGAGATCATACTCACCCGCGATCAGAGGACTACGTCCCACCGGGTGCACGACCATGCCGCGCGAGTCAACGCGCCGGCACCGAAGTCCACGATCTCATCGTTGCAACCGACCAAATATCAGGACAACATCGTCGCAAGACGTCGCTGCACTAAAGCGATAACCGCGAAAACGCTTATACGAGAGAGAAAGAGTGATTCGCACCTCATGCCTACATTTTATCACGACCGGAGAACACGGCATTCTAACGCATCCTTCAACGTACTCAGATCCTTAAGTAAGTCGATGTTACCGCGCGCACACGCGCACACACGTATGCGCGCATACGCACACGCAAACACACGAGTGTACACAACACCAGATTACATAGCAATCACTTAATGCTAGTGTAACGATAATTGCGATTGCACAAATGAACGTTGATATTGCAAAATTAACATTATTTATTGCGACACAACAGAAAACTAATTAATTAAGACTTTTTATTCAGAAACTGCTGTTTAAATGCATTGCAGATCGGCGCGTCATGTGTATTAAAGTACTCTTGTATCATAAAATGGGTCGTAGCAGGTGCAATATTGATTGTCACGTGAACAAAATACTTTTATTGTATTCTTATGCAGACATTACACTACTATCGATTGACTCGTGGTCGTGATAATGCAGCAAAATGCATTACGCAATTATTTTAATAATATTTCGGCTGTTGCATCGTACGGTTCTATCTCTTTGCAGCGTGGTCGTTGTCAATATAAAAGTTGCATCCTCTTTCCGGTCGCAACGCTTTCTCCGAATTGATTTAGAAATCATATCAGGATTTGCTTCATTTGCATCAAGCCAGTTGTTTATATCCCTCGCTCCTTATTAACCTTTCGTAACGTCGACGCGGAAATATATTAACTAACTTGGCAAGTACGTCTATCGGATACAAACGTTGTATCAGGAGGATTCAGCCAAATTTTCCATGAATTTTTCTATGTTAGTCATAATCCGAAATAGTAGATACACGGATTCGTATGTAAAAGTAGAACTCGGGAATCCTATTACTTGGCTAGCATCGATAAACTTGATTATGACTCGTAAATCTGCACCCGGAGCGGATTATGACCTGACGGTAAAACCCGCGTGTGTCTCGAAACCTTAATCATTGAGCGGTGCTCGCCGCCTCTGATAAGTATCTTTAGAAAACACCTTTAAACATACTCCTCGGTCTACAAATGTTATTTTCCTCAATTGCCGATGAAAATCTTGAACTGTTTATATAAACTTCTAAAAGTCATAATTTTAATAACTTTCTTACGTAATATTATGTCATTCTTTTACAATATAAACGTATAAAACATTTAACATTAAAATCTACTGTAATATAATATAAATAATGCTTCTGGTGCGTAAGCATTGCTGTACAAAGAATACATTGCATAAATTAGATTCTCAATTATTTCTTCAATTAATTCTAAGCTATATGAATTTTTGCGTAGAAATATGTGTTATCTAAATATTTTCTCTTCGCGTGTCGGTAAGACGCCATGTACAGCACATAAACGTGATATTACGCTTTTCTTTCTCATTCGGTTCATTGCCGCTCATGTCATTCTCTCTTGCGACTTTGACGTCATTTTCGAGCATGCCGATGAACGTATTAGTCATCCGGCTTGTAACGGTCCTCCTTATCGATTCTTCGTTTACAAGTTTGCGAATCTTGAGTCTACACGCGTTTTCATTTACTGTCTTATCTACTTCTTCCACATTCTCCGTAAAATCGATGAGGGTGTATTATTGTAGGGAGCTCTGGATTTCCCGGAATGAATTTAAAACGCGGCACGTGCCAGGACGCGCGGTATATTTGCCTCCGTCCGCCCACCTGTTGAACGCTACGAGGGTCCTACAGGTGGTTTAAATCCTTAGGTTCTACGAACCGTGAAAACCTGTAGTTTCGTCTTTCAGATAATCTCGGCCAGATGCCCCTAGATACTTTTGTACTTTCCAGTAAGACAACGTTTGGCATTTGCCGCTCTCATTCTTAAGCGAGGTGAAACATTTCGAAAGGTGCTGACAACTCCAATAGACGTACAACTTGGCCATTCTTTTATGACAATGACGAATTGACAGAGAGCAATCTATAATAAATTGTCAAACGTACATGCGCGCCGTAGTGCGACCTACCGCAACGTGCTTCGGTCCGTAGACACGAACGGAAGAAAAGGGAGTAGCGGGTCGGGCGTAATGGGGTATAATTGTCGCGAGCAATGCGAGGACAGTGCGTCATTACCGCATTTTTCACCGTCTTTCTTGTTGGCCGACAGTAGAGATGCGCTTTGCACCGGTGTTCACCGGCTTTGCGCGCCATACTTTTTTCAACGCGGCCGCGGGTTCTTAGGAATTTCGATGGAACGCCGTCGTTGAGAGTCGTCGTTGAGGTAGGCCCTCGCGGTATCGGCGATACGTAGACAGTACCAGGGAAAGTATAAAGGAGGGTAAAATGGCGCTAAAGCCTGTCATCTGCCGAATGCTTCGACGATTAACTATTCTTCACCGACAAGATTGTAATTGCGCGACGAGAAGAACGTACGTTTCATATGTTCTTAGTCGAGCTTCCTTTTAAAGAGACGTGTAAATTAAGGGAACATTTGTTGCATGGATTACCAAATATATACGCGTAAAAAAGTTTACCAGTTACAGTATGTCGAGAACAATAGTTTTCCACCGTACGGCATTTCTGCGAAAAACAATTAAATTCACGACGCGTAGTTCCTGGATTAGGTAAATAGGTGAGAATATAAGTTTTGAGCGACAAGATCGCGCCCAGCTTCCGAACGTTTCTGTTTTCCTTCTCGAGAACGCGAACTCGTCTGAAAGTGTCTATGTCACCGTATCCCTTTCTCCGCTGACAAATTTAACCGATTGTGGAAGACTAATCGCGTAGCAATTAAACGTCCGGGAGAAAAAAGGAAGACAGAGTAATTAAAGAAATAAGAGAAAGTAAACGATGCCTTTGAACGACGAGTAAGGAGATACGTTCCTGGATCATTTACGTGGATCACTGCGAGCTTTGCGGCGCGATAAAAATACTTGCGAACGGCTGTTTCTCGAGATACGGTCCTTTTCGTATATGGGCGAAAAGTATATTGCAAGTACACACGTGTTTCTTCTAAGATCATTAGCAGACATTAATTGGACGCTTTCCGCCAGAATTGTTAACCTTCCGAGAATACTTCTTGCTCTTCTTTTCTACTACTCTTTCGTGCTAAAAATAAAGTGTAAAAATATGATTTTATCGATACGCTGACGTATATTATGCAACTAGTTACGAAAAAAGGGACCCGAGTGCTTTTACAATACACGCCATCGCAACGAGAATAGTTACATCTGTGAAAATTTGCGATTTAACTTTTCATTAATTCCTTATTTCGCGTATTACAGGCGGCTGCGTGAGCTAACTGAGTATTAAAAAATATGGACTACGCGCGATTAACGTTTATCGCGTTCTTGCGATTTTGTAAATTAGTAGCGAATCGTGGTATGTTCGCCCGAAAAATTATGGCAACGTGTCGCCGCTGCTGGCCGACACGGTTTTGCGTCGTCACTTTAGGGCGCAAACTTCCCTGCGGCAAATTGCTCTCTCATCGCAACGCAGAACGCACTTAAGAGCCGCTCATTAATATGCGTTAAGTGTTCGAGGCGTCTCCCCGTCCCACTCCTCGTTTTCTCTACATCTCGCTCTTTTTCCGTCTGCATTTCTATCTCCCTTCGTTTGTACGGCGCGTCCGTCGGCTCCATCATGCGTTCATGCACATTAAAATTAAATTCGTTAGCGCCTGCGGATGGTGCGACACACCTCCGGTTTTCGGTCGCGCGGCTGCTCGTCCAGCTAACGATATAAATTCAAGAGCTAGGACTTATATAAAACTTTAACTCTCCAATACTTTGTGACACTTTTTACCTGATTGGGAAACTACCGATGCTCCGTTATAAATGTTGAAAACACAAATTAACATTGTCCAGTAATAACGTTAAAGTCATTCGACAAAAGGAAACGACTTTCTAGCGCACAATTTTCTCATTATAGATCGCGATCGACCTCAGAGAAGAGAAGAGTATAAACAGATCGAATTTAACATTGATAAATGCAAAATGCCATATTTTGTGCAAACCGATTTACCTTTAAATCAACCATTACACTTAGCGGCGTACGCGCAATGCATGCATCGTTCGATTTTTTGAGACCTCTTCGAGACGACAGGGAGGTAAGAGGAGGGGGAGGGGGGGGCATGGATTAAATGCAGACAACACGTCGTATGCGGTGGCCTCCCGTCGTTATACATCCTTCAAATGCGTACGCACAACTGTTGATGGTTTGTCGTCGTACCGCTGCACGTGATCTGAGGCCCCTCATCAAGGGTCGTAACTCGCGTAATAATGCGACGACGAATTCGCGGGGACGTAATTCGACGTGCGGTGATCTTGAAACTGCCGGATGATCATAAGACGGTCCCGATCGGAATCTACCATTTAGGCGCTTACTATCGACGAGTGAATCCCCGAGGGTGGAAACGGAGGGCCAATGAGCCGGAAGCTCAATGATAATTTCACACAGGCGTCTCGCGGCTCTCACGTCAAATCGTGATTACCGCCGAACATTGAGCCTCGTCTTCGGTTTTTCCTTTTTTAAGGCTCAGACAATTCCGTTAATGATGCCCCTACACAAGTTAATCTACATCGCGAAATGGGTCTCATCCCATGGCGCTCGTTCGCTACGGATCTCCGATGGAACTATATTAACGTAACTGTTTCCATGATCTACAAAACGTACTGATGGTACATACGGCGTATTAAAATATACAATATACAATGAGAACATTAAGATATAAGGAAGAAAAACGCGCCTCGTTGAATCGCTCGAATTACTCGATGCGTAAATGGCACCCTTTAATGTGGTGTCAATTGCAATTTCATCTAGGAAACTCTAATATTTTAATAGTAGATATTTTCATAACATCGAAAGTGGATTCCACATTGCGGTCGAGTAGTTTGATTATAATTGTGTAACAAGGACCGTTATAGGACACAAGTCTAAGGTGACCGTTTTTATTTCCAGGGTTAGGCAGCGCGTTGGTGATTCTCCTAGCGCTAGCGGTGCAAAGTGCCCCGGTAATGAATTCCCCGAACAAAACGGACGATATGAAATGGGTGAACCCGTGTGGCGTCTCTACCAAATTACGAACAAACGGCTCCAGTCCGGACATCGTACAGTTGGAGGACCATGATCTCCTCAACCAAATAGTACTCCAAGCGAGAACGGCATTGAAGCATGCGCAACTTTTCAGAGATGAATTTGTAAGTAGCAGAATGCATATTTCTCTCTTTCCCGCACTGCCACTCCGGTTCAGTGGTTTTTCGTTGCGAATCACCTATCAGTGCGTACCATTGTAATTCACGTCGATCCGATATCGGTGATTTTATTGAAAAATTAAGCTCATCAATTCTTCGATAATTACCGGTACGACCTCGGGAAGGGGATCGCGTAGAGTGAGGGAACCTCGAGCGGAAGGCGGTTATGGTAGTACTTCCGGTCATCCAAACGTTCAATCGCAGTTCCACGAGTCACATAAATCTTTGAAGAAGCTCCCGATCTTGTAACTCGCGCCGCGTCTTTACGTTACTCGAAAACGTTTCGTCAAATAAAAATTTGATTTTTGCTCACTGTAAAAATATAATAATGAATATTACAGCTTAGTAGCCTCAACTTTACAAAATGTGCGCACTTGATTTCAGTACAGCTCACGTTTCAAATTACAATAAATTCATACTGAATTTGTTCAATTTACATTAAATATATTAAATTAAACAGTCTTCATTTACATTATATTTTACCTAACAATTTGAATAATTGTCTTTATTCTAAGTTATATTCAACAATTATTACTTAAAGTTGCGACTGCGTTTCAAATTCTAAATAGTATATTTATCAATTTTATGGAGCAAATAGATACATAGCGAGAAATTTTTGTTTCGAAAGAATCTTCCCACCCAATCGTACCTTATTATTTATGGCCAAGGACAATAAATCACGCAGCAGACCCAAGCGATTTCTCAAGGTTTCTCTCTAGGAGCAATCCAAAAAAGAGATCGACTCGCAAACCTCAGAAACAGAGGTGATTCGCATTTCAAATCTCAAGAGAAACTGTCCTACACTTTTATGCGTAATCCGCTTGATATTCCACTTGTTGATTTCAATTGTAAGATAATTTAGACTTTCAATGAAAGAAAACGTAGACTTCTAAAAAGCGCGATGTGAGAAAGCGCCAGTCAATTAACTCAAACGACTGCGTTTCGCCAAATAATGGTACCCAGACATAAATGATTGATCGCCGAACAACATCAGTTAAGACCAGACAAAGACCGTCCTCCGCGAACGGTGTTTACCTAGGTGAAGCGAGTATATGACCGAGTAAATTAGCATTCGTCGCGTGCATCGAGAAAGGGTATTTCTGCCTCCTCGCATTATAGGGTCCGTTTCGCCCTGGGGCTCCGGCGGTTAAAAAGCGTTCCCGTTATATCATCGCGCGGCGATACCGGATACCGATGTTTTCCAAGTCAGCGCATAATCCGATATCATACCGGCCGCAACTCGTTCCTACCCTTGACGAGAAAGACAATAAATCGCGCACGTGTAAATGCCTCGGCACTTGCGACACATAAAAGATGGCATGGAGAAGGAATGAAGTCATAGTTGAACATGATGACAGGGAAGAGTCAAGTTTCTCTCCTCTCCGCACGGCTCTGTGCTCGCGGCGAGGCTAAGAGCTCCAGGGGCGCCTTCCTCCACTGATATCGACTTGCGGCGACACACTGTCTGGTGGTCCAGTGTCTTCACCGTCCAACACTCGTTATCGTAGCGTAGGCCGTCTACCGGCAGGGAGAGAAAGGAGTAGATTAGCCAAGGATACTGAGAACGGCGGAAATCTCACGGCCAATGTATCTTTCGCGCGCGTGGCACAAACGCCGAGAGGAAAGTTTGCGGCGGACCTCGCAATCTCTTGCAGCCATTCTTCCAACAGGCTTCCGGGATAATTGAAAATCTTTAGAGCACAATCGTCCACTCGATCGTCAATCTATCTGCTGCGCTTTGTCCTTCTGCCGTGCGTCTATTCGCTTTGTCTCTAAATTTTTATTCTTCCGTCATTGACGCGCCGCCTGAGAATGACTTAATAAATCGAGTTCAACCGTCTGCAATTTACAAGTAGCGATAGCGACGGCCAACGTCTACGTTTTCGCGCGTGTGCAGACGCCAGTACGTGAAGGAATCGGATAAGATATCGGAAGCGGAGGATTCCAATAAATCAGAATCGGAAGCTGCCCCTCTCCACCGCGTATGGACACCTATACGCTACACCGGCACGCCGCTTGCATATTAAAGCCCAGACCGGATATACAACCAGTCAGTGCATGTACAGTCTTATCCATTAATGCCTGGACCTCAGTTTTACTAGGATTCACAGTTTCACAATCTTTATTCCCATCTATATATCGATGAGTTTCAGACTATACTTCACACAGCTTCTATAGAAGTCTACGGTAGTACCACACATACAGCCTGAAACTCAGTGACTTGTACAGATGAAAAAATGATGATAAAAATGCAGGTCCGGGCATTAATGAAGAAGACTGTACTTGCCTCGATATATACGACACATATCTCCTATCATGGTGTACCGCTGTATTTCTATAATATATTCACTCGCGTCGCTTCTTTGCGCGGTGACATATTTTCCGGACGTGTGTGACCATCGCGATCGTCAATTTTCAATTTTCCTTATAGAGTCAGACAAAAACGAATTCGTTTGAATGTTATCACAAAGATCGGATTTAAGCCTGACACAATGCTTCCACACCAGGAGAAATCTGCACAATATAATACTACTTGTTAGTATTTATTGATAACAATTATCAAACTCTATGACGAAATTTCCTTCTCATAGGATGTATCGATATCGCGAACCATTCGATCGGCTCTCGAAGCCGTCACACCGAAATTTTATAACTTCTAATAAGCGGTGCAGCGGTGAAGCCGCGCTAGAAGAAAGACTGAAAGGCTAATTGATTTTGACGGGTCCTCGGCAGCGCCGCGTGGAGACCATACCTATTCTTACCAGCCTACTTCCTGCCAGCTTCCAGCCCGGTTTTACGATTATTCGTGCTCCAGTGTGGCCGACGAGACTTTTACGAGGCACAAAAGACCCGCGCCACAGATTTGTCCGCCGCCAGTGGTTGTTAGCGACAATTCCTTTCATTCTACCCTTTTTGTTCCGCTTTACCACCTTTTCCCGTGCTCGTTCCCGCTCTCGCAATCTCTCCTCGTATTTATATATCTCGCAGCGAAAATGTGTGAAGAATATTCAAGCGCTCCGAAGCGTGAAACAAAGATCACGGCGATTGTTTTGGACCTTCGTGACTTTTAGCGCCGTTTTCTGTGCCGCGCTAAAACAAAGATTGCCCAAGTATCGATTCTCGGGCGGATTGAGAGCCACCACGTGGATGTAACTAACACATCATAAAACGCGACGATGAAAACGAGTTCTTTTCGGCACCTGAGAGAAGGAAAGGCGGACGCGGGCTCGGCAGAGAGCGCCATACGTAGGTAGACGTGTAGGTCTCGCTAATGTATTTATTAGAGGACTGCTTACACAAAATTACCGTAAAATTCCATTTAATTACCCATCAGGTTCCTCATTACGTATATCCACACGCCTAGGCGAGTTTGCGGTAGATATCGTTATTATTAGCAGTAACAGTCGATGACGCAATTGGTGGCCGGCTACAAGGAGTATTTAATATTTTTCGATACAAAATGATGGGCCTAAAAGATATCTTTGTATTCTCTTGGACGCTTTCGTAACGACCGGGGCGTGAGAAGGGCCGATCGCCGATTGGCACACGAGTGGCCGCAGGTACGCGAGATCGAACATGCCATAACGAGGGAATTAATTTAATGAATGACTACCGCGATGCCGCCTTTCTATGGGCTACCCTCGAATTTCCGCCGCTGTCGTGCCTTCGAAATCCATTTGTCGTCACGTACGGCTACTTTCCACCTTGGCCGTGCCGATATTTTTCGTTCGTTAATCCCCACGCGAATTTCTAAACTCATTATTCCGCGGCTTCATACGCGATGGATAGTACAGGCCCTCGAGGGTGTATGATTTATCAAGCAATCGTGGTTCTCAGCAATATTGTTTGCGATCGAAGGTATTATCGCACTCGCAGGTCGTACGAGAGTAGCGAGAGTAGCGTCGCGCGGTGATTATTTCCATTTCTACTTGAGATAATGGCACGGTGCGTTATCTGCATTGACAAACAATCCAAGGTACGTGATCAATGAGATTAAATTTCCACGTGCGCACGTAGAATGGATAACAATATTTACGAGATAATATGCATTAATATAAAATGTTAACATCGGGATTCTTTTGTAAGAAAGACGGTTGTTTAAGTATTCGAATTATATCGCAACTGTTCGTCATAATAAGAGACCGATGACCTACTCCATAGCCGCTGCCGATGCAGGACCGTCGGTGCGCCGTGAAACATAAACGCAAAATGCTATACAAAAATTACGTAATAATTATTATGTAAAATAAAATTAATGTGCTACAGTTTCGTTTCATAAAAGTAACAGTTATGATTTGTTAATCTCTTAAAATCCGATGCCAAGAGCAACGGGACAATTTCCTGTATCGAATCACGATATCAAAGTGGAATACGAGCAGTGATTTCCAATATGTTACGCAAGGCTGTAGCACGTTTCCCTCGCTCTCTATTTCTCGCGGCACTTCCCGGCTCAACGGATGATTCATAATGACTCGTCCGATGTAAGCGATCCCTGATGGGACAATTAGTCTGTCTCGACCGGCGCCCGGGTTTCTGAGTAATTTCTGGGTAAAGGACTAAGCTGGCTTTTGTTAGCTGACCCATCCCGGTATTCCCGAAAAGTCAGCGTGCCGTCGCCGCCGCCGCCGCCGCCGTCACCGCCGCCCGTGTGGCACGCGCTCTCCCGCATAGAGAGCCGACACGAACTACTGTGCGTTACTCACGCAGCAGTTCGCACGGCCGGCTGCGTTTTCATTCGTACCAGGAACGAGGGATATCGGAAGACTGATCGTGTACGAGGTGTTGCACGACGTATAATCGGTGACTAAACTCACTGACGTCCAGTGGCGTCGGTCCGCTGCGCTACCGCGAGAAATTAACGCGAGCGAATCGGTACTTGCGCTGGCAATAGTGCTGGCACAATTGGCGAATACCTGGAAATACAATAAGAGCAGCGCGGCGCACTAGTCCGTGATCCTTTCGCGAAGTGACAATATAAAGTGACAGTGAGATACACCGCTGTCAAGACACAGAAGCGTCGATACTGGGTTCGCAATGTGTTGTTGCTGAATCACATTTTTCTGCCTTTAAGAATATTTTTCAATAAAAAGTATGTAGAATCTATCACGCCGAGGCGTATTGGATTGTAAAAAATATTATAGTTAAACGAACGACTATTGAAACCCATGACGGAATGACAGCGACATGATTTTACACATGCGTGTCACGTATCGTTTTATGTATCTTAATCTATTCCCGTGCGCAACGAATATGAAAGATATGCAGAACGGTGTAGCAATAACGCGATACCCACGCGGGATAATTTTTCTCAAATTTCCGCGAGATTGCACGCGCCAAGAGGACGACGATGGGGAAACTTGATAGTCCCGCATATCTTTCTTCGATGCTGCGGCTCCTTTTTTGAGTGAAACGACGCATCTAATCATGCCCACGTTTTTCTTCTATGATTTTGCAGATCAGACAAACTTTCAAGACGGACTTCGCCAGCGTCCACAATTTGTGGAGGAAAAATCATTACGCTTGGCTGCCTACGCGATCTGAAATACCCAAAGAGCTGGGAGAGGAACTGGACCAGAAGCATCTCGAAAAATTGGAAGTACGTGACGCTATCAGTGACGTTATTTCGCTTTATCTATCTGCAGTTATTACTAATAATCTATTCGAATACAACAGTTTACTATCTAAGTACATGTACTTCTAATAAATATTCCTACATTTCTTTCAAATATATATATATTTTTTTGCGACATTTCTACGTGTACTAATATAACTAATACACGAATAGCCGACTAACAATGCGTTGGGATTTATGTATTTTCAGATTAACACGTCTCTCGTCGATGCGTACGAATATATGCAGAAATATGCGGTGGGCTTGGAGCAGGTAGTTTTGGATCAAAAGGATTATCAGCCTAAATATCATCAGAAATTCACAGAAGCCGAGTGGAAACTTCGAGCGGTGAGTTTGGTTTTAGGATCAAATCCGTTATCTTCCTAAGTAATTATGCTGAGCGGTCGGTATTCGAACTGTCGCTCTTTCACGGCGCGCGGTATAAAAAAAGCTGCTGTGCGCGACTTTCACAATAACATCGGTACAATTAGCCTGAATTATTCTACCTTCTGTTGCCGCAAGCACGATGAAAGACGTTTTGCCAAGTTTTACGATCGTTTTACGTAAAGGTTGAGACGTTAAAGATCGTCGCTAACTGCCATTTTATTGACCATTCCGGCGAATGGCTTTGGGCGCGCTCAAGTTCCTATGGAGTTTCCTTCATTTTTAGTTAGTTTTGATGAGCATCGTCGACTTGGAGAACACAGATTCCGAAAGAGATCACTGCAGAAGTCAGTCATCGTCTATTGAAAATTGTTAGCAACAGTGATCTCAATTCTCACGTTTGCAAGACACTTTTGTGGTGATCAATATTAAATTAGCAATTAGTTTCACACAATTAGAGCAAATTTACGTAGATATTAAAAATTACAAAATTCCCGTCTTTAATATTTTACTTTTAATTGAAAAATTTCATCACACTAAGTGTATTATCTGCAAGTGTTACCTACACGTGTTTCTAATATCCCAATGCTTTTCTTTTCTCAGGTTCTCTGTGAGATCCAAGTTGCTTTAGAAGAGCGTAGCGTAACGCGACGACCGGACGTCACTCGAGATGTCATGACGTCCGATTTCCGAACGATGACGGATATGACGTTCCGTGATCTGCGTGACTGGCTGATTTTCCGAGAATATATGAACGGCCTCGAATACGTGATACAAGTATTTTCGCATCTACGCCTACGTTTGTAATCTGCGTAATCTTGAAGATCTGTACGACGAAAGCCGAAGAAGGACGAAGTCCATCTCTCGTCTCAGAAAATTAACGCGGTCACTGACAGCTCCATTTTCTGGGGATACAGGGAAGAGAATAGACGGGACACAGAAAGAGGACCGTCTTTTGATATCTGATTAGTAGATGGACACAATTTTAATGAAATGTGTCTCTGCAACGAGGATCGGGCTATTCGTTGGTGTCGACGATGAGGAGTGATATTGTCGAACCGACTGATATACCGCATCACTATGTCCATATTAAGCTTCTATGATAAATCTAGAAGTGCCATCAATGCTCTTGACACCTCATCACATTCACCATCCTCTTCGACACTCTTTGATGTCACTTTATGTGGTACTGCATAGAACCGAATGAGAAAGAGTAGGAAACAGAGATTTAAAAAACCGCGTCGTTATTGGTCCACTGGCTTTCGCCGTTTCAGCTCACGGTCATATACACATAATCATGCATATTCACATATCACACAAGCTATGATTTCGCGCGAAGATGCCGTACAGCATGCGGATGTATATTTAATTTTATATACAAGAAGCAAAAGTGGAGACAAATAGATCCGATGGCTCAATCGTTCAACGTTGAACGTATAACCCTTGAGATAACAATCAAATATCACGGTTATTTTACACTCTAGGAACGTGATATCCGTTACATTCTTCTTTCGACGCATTACCAACATCGCCGCGATTGGCTTGATTTTCAGTAAAGACTTAAGATCTTTAATAACCTCTCAATACAAATAAAACGTATTTGTAACAACCATTGCTACTTCGAGTGGCTGTTACACAAAGTTTAAAGAGTGCACGTAAGATTAGAACGATCGATAAAAGTTATTGCACGAAAATGCCACGACAAATTTCAAGTTGATTTCTTTAGCGTGATTGTCCACGCAATATCTTGCTTGGCGTAGTAGTTTCAACATACGAACATTTATGGCACCTAACACGCATTCTATGATCAGTGCGTAAGACAAGAAGTGATAATCTGAGAACGAAGCTACCTAATAGGAAGGAATCCTTGCTGTAGGTTCATAATAAGACAAAACATATTTTGAACCTCGCGGTAATTTAGACCGCGATTAAGTGTGTGTGTATTACGTTATGCACACAGAAATCCCACAATATCGTTAAAAAGGCCTCTCTTCGCGAGCGATTCATACCCCACAATCTTATATAATAATTTATTGACTACTTATACGTGTATAATTTGTTTATAGGTAATATAATATTATTTGTACGTAATATTATATTATACATAACATGGTACATGTATAATATTAGTATATCCATATTTATTCAGATTATTTATTTTATTTTTATAAAGATTTTACACTCCGATTAATTGTATTTAAAGTATCTAGTTGAGCTTAAAAGTGCCTAGTGTATACGAAAGAAAGAAGGCTATATATCACAATTAAAACCCCGTATATACATGCAATTATTTTGCCTGTGCGTACGGAGTTTCATTATCACAATATTACTATCATCGTGCAAAAGGAGAAGAGCGCATCCACGCGACGAGCATCGTTACGTGGCGTATGTCGCACAGTTGCTACTGCTTCTCTTTTTGACGTACCTTCGCAGGGTATAAGAAACTAATCAGAAACTTATGGAGGCTCGTTAATTTCGCACTTTTGATCGCAATTATTTCGCTGGCAAATGAGATCCCTCTAGTATTATATTTTACTCGATATATTATTCATTAAAAAATATTCTTTTACATAATCTTTTTTTATGCCGACATCGACTTTTTATTAATAATAATATGCGAGACTGTTGAAGACTACTGGCAACAGGGTATATTACATGAAGACTTTCTTCATCGATTCAAATTTACAATTTTATTCATAAATCCATCAATAATGCTATTTTATGATCAATATATATTTTTTTAACAAGTACGATATGTATTTTTATATCACAATCTATTCTATTTTAAATAGTTCCACAAATTTCTAAATTAATTCAATCATATTTTAATATATATATATACATCTATATATATATATAAAATACACCTTACGCCTTTGCAGTCTTCAAAACTGATACCGGAAGAATTTTTTTGGTACTTACAATTCATAGTCGCGTGGCTATCTTTTCTAAAAGATCGGTCACGCTGAAAAGTTACTGTGCGATCATCTGCAAACAAAACCGTATCGAGGTATGTTCCGTCATACTTAATTTTCATATCAGTAGTAACATACAAATTATATGTTCAATTCCGAGATATCATTGACGCAATTTGAATGCGTAAATCATTATTTATACGCACACATGCATCGCATAAAATATATTTTTATTTTCTTATCATCGCGTCTGTGATATGCATTCTAGAACATCCCTCAGGCGACTAATTGTTCATTTCCGAATCGATCTACGCTTGCTTCCGTTCCGACGAAAAAAAGAGACAGAGAGAGAAAAAGCGAATAGAAGAGAAAATGGGAAAAGAAGGAAACAAATAGCAGCTAAAGTTCTTATCTCAAACTTCAATCATTAGTTATATTCTTATTTTTATATTTATTATTTTAAAATAATGTGAAATTACAGTTTAAGGTTATTAAATAATATTTCGCGCACATATTTACTAAGATAAATTAGTTATTTTATAAATTCTTATTCTATTTAGAGACTAAAAGTACCGTAGCAAAATTTACTTTAGAAATTTCAATTTAAAAATGTGGATAGAAAAATGTTTTCCTAGAAAATAATGCAACAATATTGAAGGTCTGAAAGTCGATCAACTGTATTTTCTAAGAATAGATCTGGTAACTTTTATACGCTTTGAGAACTGATCTCTGTCTTTTTTTTATTACAATTTGAATTGTAAAAATACTTGGAACACATAAATAATTACCAGCGTGAGAAGCTATATACGGTCTATAAATGTTTTCATTTATTGCAAAATTAAGTGATTGCGATAATTGTAAATAAGAAGATATCGTGCAGGACCGTAAAAAGTAAAATTTTAGTAATAGAATAATCGCGTTCCATATATCGCGACACAAGATAAATTGAATTTGGATTAACTAGTGCGATCGCTTCATGTATTGTACACAAACGATCTGATAATATAGTTTAATATAGTAATAAACTGCAAATTACAATTTTATGTATGGATATGTAATCTGGATACGGGTTTCTCTCCTCAGATTGCCCGTTCTGTTGTAGCATATTAAACCAAAGACCGTTCGACATTTTGTCATTATTATTTTAACACCACCTTTTTCATTTTCCTCGATGCAATTTCCTCTAAAAAAAAGATAAATTAAAAAGATTTCGTGAAATATTTCACGTCTGAAGAACAAGTATTAATAGATTAGCGTACTAAAGAAGTATACTAATTAAAATCAATCAACTGGTTTGACATAAGTTCTACTTGCTTCTAAATAATTTTTTGTTACGTTACTCTATGCACATTTCATTATTTTCTTTTTAGTAAATGTATTAACAAAGCAATTCTTCGATCATTGGCACGTGTTGCTCGAGCATTTCGGCTCGAATATTTCAACCTGACCAAACGGGATTTGCCTTTTCCCATGATCAGTGTCCGATGCCGTGTCTCCGGAGCTGTCGACGTCGTCGGTGTTTGAGAGGAAACGCGTAAGTACATGATCATCGGTCCAGGTACGGCTCTGTTCCAAGCCGCCGTGTTTGCACACGCTGTTAGCTCATTGTCATCGTTCGTCCAACTTACTTTCTCATAAGGATTTCCACTTCTCTCGTGCTGACTCTGTGTTTGACAATCCCTACCCGCCTTCCCTTAGGTATCCTCATCCAGGTGGTCTCCCGAGCGCCGCCAAGGTGTCAATGTTTTGCCTAGCCATTAAGATCGTTAGCCCATGCTGCGTTTGACAGTGGAAGAGCGATACTATTCCAGAATCTCATAAGAAGTTAAGATAATTGCTTGGTGTTTAAACAAACCTATATTTTTTAGTATGCAGTAACCAATAAACACTTTTTTGTTGTAAGTTTCTCTTTGAACAATATATTTTTTTAGTACTTTTTACTATAGCCGACAATATGCACGTGGCAAAAGATGTGTACGACACGTTATATATACATAGTATACATATGTATAATTAAAAATAGTTATTAAGAGATATATTATATTAATTAAAACAATGTCAATCTCAGACATTACAGCAATTAATATAATAAGAAAATAAGTAATACGTTACAACTGCATCAGACGACACCAATCCCAAGGTCCACAAACGAATATATTTTAAACGAATAAGACATTGATGGCGGTCGGTGAGTCGTCTGCAATGGAATTCGAAAATTCCGGCGCATACATGCCATCGGAAAGAGCAAAGAAGAATGGTGCGCCAGTGTCTTCGCCGGTGGCACAGGTAGAGATCGACGATCGAATCCCATAGGGCAAGATATGAATGAGATGTGAGAAGAGGCCGAAAAGATCGGTCAACGCTATGAATGGCTGGGAAAACTGCGACGTTTTTTATCCTACGGAACACGATTTACCTCTTCTTCGTTTCTCCTACTACTATTCTTTCACGTTTCTCAGTTGCTCCATCAACGGCGGCGATGTGCCGACGGTGATCCTTTTGCACTTCGTTCCAAATGAGTCCTGAGAGTGGTCCGGAATCTAGCCCCCGCCGTTGCCTCGGGCAAATACTTCGGCTCCTTTCAACTCGAAAAAAAGAGAAATATACCAGACCTCGTTGTAATTAGGATAGTGCGCCCGCATGGACAGCTACAAGGAGCCTCTCTCTCTCTCTTCGTCACTCACTATTCATTCTTCTTCATCACCCGCTATGTAACTCGCCCTGTCCTTCTTCGTCCTCGCCTCGTCGCTCGAATACCTGAAGGCGTTCTCCCGCTATGTTCCTAGTGACCCTCAAGACAACTTTCAATAATGTCAAGACAAAAGGTTTCAAAAGTTGAGTAGTTCTCGCAGCTTACCGTGATTTATCCTTGAAAGAAGACAATTTGACTATGCCAAAACAAACTGTCACTTGAGTGTTTCATTCATTTATATTGTATAGGTATTATATAATTATTTACTGATCTTACGACATATTGTTAAATTATTGTATTATTGAAAGAATTGCAAAATGATCACAAGAAGAAATATAAAATCAATACCAAGTAAAGTTCGTATACACTTGCATTTGTACAATATTCTTTTAACAAAACAGTCATATTCCATTGGTTCTTTTAACGATACTGGCGAAAGTGTGCGTAGAGTGAATTTTTTTGTAGTCGCCAATCAGAATAACCCGAGGAAAACGACCATGGCACACCACTCATTCTTAACTGCTGCTGATTGAGGGGCGGTGCTGTGCTAATAGGTTTCATCCCCCGCCCTCTTGCCATGGGTACCACGTTCTAAAACAGTCTAGATTTATTTCACGACTAATTTTGCCTTGTTAGCCAATAGGCTAGTACAAGGGTCTATCCTTATTTCGTCAACAAAATGCATGCACGTCCCTCATCACAGCTAAATAGATATTTAATGGCAACCATTGCTTGAAAACTATTCGCTATCGTACGCATATCGTGTGTCGGAAGTTTACTTATAATTCTTCTTGTTACCTTAATGAATTATTTGACATTACGATGTGTATTAAATTTCTCAAGCAAGAAATTTGTATAACCGTTTAAATCTTTTTTCACTGAGAAAGATTTTAAAATGCAATTAAATATAATTATAAAAGCAGGTACAAAGCATATAAAAGTTAGACACATTCCGTGTAAAAATGGATATTAGGAAGTTAATTATTATTTGTTGAGAATGAATACTTAAAAAAGTAACGAATGATGAAAATGCGTCTTTCCTTCAATATTATTGCGTTAAAGACAAGAAATAGAAGACATACATTAGAAGGATGAATTAAAATGATTTCCCGTGTTAGCGATTGCAACGCGTTTTCTCTCGGTCAACGGTAAGATGGCTTCAGAGAAAAGAGGTACCGTTCATGGGAACTGTGAGACCGCTTCCTAGAAGAGTGAACACGACGCAGATATCGGTCGGAAGAAAAGAAAAAGAAGGACCGTAGCGTCGAATGAAGAGGGACGATCAGCATTATGGAAATATCGTTCTTTCGCAACATTGGTATCGCCGACGCGGTCGACGTTTTTACCGCGGCAGCTCGGGGCCATCGTTTTCGGCAAGTTGTTCCGGTCGAACGAGATGCATTTTGTCGCGAGATAACGCGCGGATTCGGGCACGTGGGTGGGACGGCGATAACCGGTGAAACACACGAACACTT